ATGTCAGGTGTGATGGGATCAAGTGGCCAAAGTACCCAGAAAAAGAGAAGAGTACCCAGGGAAGCAGCTATACATGGGTGAATGGGAATGTGCAGGGACCTCACCTCTGTATGTTGTACTTTCTTGACATCTTTCTGAATGTTTTTATGCATTTGTTTGTGTGTCTGTGTGTTTGTCACTTGTGTATGTTTGCTCTTGGAGGCCAAAAGAGGACAACAGATCCCCTGCAGCTGTAGTTACAAGGCAATTATGAGCCTCTCAATGTGGATAATTGTAGACGGAGTTTTCCTGTGTCATGACCACTTCCCAAATAAACTCATAGAGGCTTAATATAAATGCTGACTGATAGCGCAGGTTTGTTACTAGATAACTCTTACACTTAACCCATATTTCTTATCTACGCTTTGACATGTGACTTGGTACCTTTTCTCAGTATGGCATGCCCATCTTGCTTCTCTCTGCAACTGCCAGTGGCTCTCTGACTCCACCCTACTTCATCCCAGAATCCTCAGTTTGATTGTCCCACCTAACTTTATTCTGCCTTGCTATCGGCCAGTCAACTTGTATATTAAACCAATCATAGCAACATACATTCACACAGTGTTCAGAATGATTATACCATGGCAGGTAATGGGATTCAAACCCAGGTCCAAGACCAGAACTCCTAGTCCCTGATCCATCCAGCAGGAGCCATCAAATGGGCTTCAATGGGAACATGCTGATAATTTCAGCAGTTGGGCCAGGCAAGGCTGAGGGACTGTGCAGTTGGCCCCAGTCTGAAGTCTCCTCCCTTCAGCAAGGAGAGTTGACATTAGAAGTTAAGTGCCTGGCTTTGGAGGAAGCAGTAGAAGTGGCCAGCAGTGAATATACCTAAGTCACCTGAATCTCATCACTTTGCCCCAGGAGATTTGAAGCCCTCAAATCTAGGGTTAGCAGGGCTGATCTGTGAGGTAGCCACTGGCTCTCCTCAGCTCACTTTGCTCACAGTGATGTGAGGTTGAAAATATGCTTCCTGTCCATGGGTTGCAGATGGGCTTCCAGACATCCGTGCTCTATCTCTGGTGTGTGTGTGTGTGTGTGTGTGTGTGTGTGTGTGTGTGTGTGAAGGTGGTTATATGGTTCACAGACTCACTATGATTCAGGCCAGTCTTGTTAGTAGTCCCCAAGGACCCTCTGTCCTCATGCCAGGTATTGCAGGCCGGCCTAGAAGTGGGTGGAACCTAGAAGGATCAGGAGGCTTGAAGACAAACCTGGGGACTTCTCCCAGGGATAATTACTGTCCTAAAAGAGATGGGAGAGCAGGATATATAGACTAGACTGCTACAAGGGAAACTGTTGGAGCAACAGGTTTACACTTAACAATGTTGACACCTACAGACGTGTCTGTCCTCTTATAAGATGCCTCAGTTCACCTTCCCACCAATACATACATTCTTAAAGGTAAACCTGATTCTCCAGCCATTTCCCTTGTAGCAGTCTAGTCTAAGGAAGAACTGCACTAATAGGACAGAGATGTATGCCAGAGGAAGAGTCTTTAAAGGGATGCACTTTAGTGAGGTAGATTGAAAAATGGGGTTTATACCCATATGCCAGTCAAAGGGCTGGCATCTTCCTCAGCTTTGCTGCCCTCTCCCTTCCTTAGCTTTGGCTAAAGCCACGGTCACTTCTGACCTTTTTCCCAGTCTACCTGCCTCCATCAGTACCTCATCCAACAGCACTCACAGGTCCCTTAATCCCACTAGGCACTTGATTCTCACACATCTACTCATGGTTCCCTGTGGTTTCTAAGACTGTGAGCAAACTTGTGGTCTTCTGACCTGGCTCTTCCTTCCAGTGAACTTCCCTAGTCTTCAGTTTATTTCAGCAGTGATCTTTTCTTTACTGTTTCTCACTAGGGGATCTCAAAATAACCTAGGCTGACTTTGAACTTGCTGAGTAGCTGAGAGCAACCTTGACTCCTAATCATCCTGCCCCCACCTCCAAGTACTGGATCACAGTCATATACCACCATGCCCAGCTCTACACCACAATATGTGTTTTCTTTCTTTCTTTTTCTGTTTCTTTCTTTTTTATAGTTTGAGACAGTGTCTCTTTTATCCCAGGCTGATCTTGAACTTGCTGTATGGCCATGGATGACTTTGCACTTCTGATCCTCCCATGCTAGGAGTACAGAAATTTACCATATACCTAGTTATATGGTGATGATGGAACCCAGGGCCTTGTGGGTACTCAAAAAGTACTGATATAACTGAGCTACATTCCCAGGCCATTCAGGTTTACCGTCTTATTGAAAAAGGAACTGGACTTCTGAGATGTAGTCAGGCTCAAGGGAATGCAGCTGATGCAGGAGCACCAGCCCTGGTTCTTTTCTGGCACATGTCCTTGCTCCTTTGCCTGAGGAGTTTCCAATGACCCTCTGCTTCTTACATTATGCACATGTATGAGTCTGTCTTGATTTGAGATGTGGCTTATTTGGTTCTAATGTGTTATAAAACTTCTAGACAACATGGCCATTGGAGCTATCAAGGGGAAACTGACAAGTTCTGAGTTTAGTACTGGCCTAGGATGGATCTGACTGCTAATACTGGGAATGAACTTCACCTGCTTGCCCATTTCCTCTATGGAAACCAGTGGCATTAATCCCTTGGGTCTTAAAAAGGAGTATGTCTTTGAGATGCCTTACAGAAAATAAGTTAAGACAGCAAAAATGACCTAGTAAGATTTGAGGGACCAACAAGTGGGCATTTGCTTCCAGGCAAAGAGGTGAGGGACTGTCCAAGTTTTTTTCATTTGGTAGCATCAAAAGACCCAGGGACCAAGGGCTCAGGCTTCAATGGTCTGCCTATAGGCACTGACTGTACCCATGCATTCTGGCTAATGGGATCACTCCACATCCTGCTAGGATGCAGACAATTGGGTTTATGCAATCATAAGAGCAACAGAACTCTGATGTGGAAGCTTCAATGCCATGATGAGGCATCATTCCTGGCATGCAGAAGAGTCAATCTGCCTGGTCTGCACTTGGTACAGTTTATGGGAGAGCAGACTCTTGCTGACATGGTTAATTTAGTCTGGTCTTTGGCCCCTTCCTTCCCCTTTTAGTGTGCCTCTGACTTCCATGGAAATATGTCCAGGTCCTGCCAGCTGGCATCATTACTGAGCTGGTCAAAGCCTAGCCCTGAAGGGACCCAGAGGGTGACAGACCCAAGGAAGGAAGGCTTTTCTGCCTTAACACAGCCAGGGCCTTGTTTTCTGTAATGCCCACACCTCTGAACCTCCCAGGCTCTCTTAAGGTCCAAAGGATCAGCTGTGGTTATTCAGGGAAACATCCAAATCCACAGTCTAGGCTTTTCCTTTTCCTCAGCTTTGAGACTCTCAGCATGTGAGAACAGACCTAAAGCTGAGGAAGAGGAATGGCCCACTCACTGCAAGCCAGGGAGGAGGTAAGGAGGGAGAACAGAGTACAAGGAACCTGCTGGTCCTGACCAGATTCCCTTCCTTGTCAGATGCTGAGGCAACTCCTTAGTACTGGGTCCCTGTAAGGAGACAGGATGAGGAGCTAACCCCAAATAGGGCTACAAATACCCACTTCTCCTCTACTGATTGGAGGACACTGACTATCTTTCCTCCAGCAAACTGCTTGAAAGTCACCGTGACTTGGCTTATGTCCTGCTGCCCAATGATATTTCCTGACGTTACAGCAGTCCAGAAAGGTAGAGAATTTTCACTCTCATCTTACAGATAATAAAACTGAGGCATCCTAGAGAGAATAACTGATTTGTGCAAGATCTGACAGGTACTAAGGTGTAAGAAAGATGGTCCAGTCCTAAAGCAGCTGGTTCCCTGAGTTTTTCCCTACCTCCAAGCCACCTACCTACCCCAAAGGTGTTTTGCCTGAGATGTGCTTCAATCCTAACCCTCTCAATTCTACAGTGCTAGCTCAGCTCCATACTAGTCTCTATGGCACTGTTGGAACTTCCTTGCTGCCAGCTCTCTTCCCCAGAGTCTTTTTCCATTAGCACTCTCTGTGGTCTGCCCTTAAAAAATGACTAGAACAGACGTTCCTGACAGCCTACAAGTTCCATATTCTCCAGGTAAGCAGCCATGGCTATATGGGCAGGTGTGGCATTCAGCAGTGAAATCATTCAGAACTCTACTGACTCTTGTCATTCCTGATACGTGAAGGGAAATCTGTATGATCTTGGTGTGATAGGATCACAAAGGGCTTCTATGAGTTCATTTTCTGTTATTATGATGTAGTATCTGAGGCTTGGTGCTTTAGAGAAGAAAGATACTCATTTAGTTCTGGAGACTCAAAAGCATGATTTTAGCAGCAGTTTAGCTCAGGTGAGGATCTCACAGCTGGTATCACAGTGGCAGGCAGGAGAACCTGTGTGTCAGAGAGACAACTTACATGGTGAAATGGGAAGCCAGAGGTAACACTCATGAAAACTAAACAGGTTCTCCCAAGACATTAATTCTATCATACAACAGTTCTACCAATGATCTAATTACCTTTCATCAAGCCTTACTTGGTGGGGGTGGGGGTGGGGGCCATGAGTGTGGATGTGTGCATAGAGAGGGTTAAGTATAGATGTACATGTGTATACATGTTCATATGCACATGTGAAAGTCAGAGGTCAATATCGGGTGTCTTTATCACTGTTTGCCTTACTTTATGAAATAGGATCTCTCAGTAAACCTAGAGTTCACCAATTTGGCTAGACTGGCTGGCCAGCAAGCCTCAGGGATCCTGCTATCTTTGCCTTCCCAGTGCTAGAAATAAGGGTGTGTTACCATGCCTAGCACAGAGTGAGCCATTTCCCCATCCCCTAAACTTCATTTCTTGAAAGTCCTACAACCTCTTAATATTGCCATATGGGGACCAAGCTTCCAACACAAGAGCCCTTAGGGGACAAACCACATCCAAACTCTAGAGGTGACCCATAAGCCATTACAAATTCATGTATTGACAAATCTGTGTTTGTCTTTGTCCCCAGGAGCCCACTGAATCCACTAGTAACAGAATTGAAAAATAAACATCATGAATGTCTCATCACTAGGAGGTAATGGAAAAGGTGAGCCTGGGCTACGTGTCTGCCTGAATTATCCCAGGCAAACCCCTAGAGGGAGATGAACATTGCCCAGGCGATGACCTCACAATGGGAGGGCTGGCAAGGGCTCTGGGATTAGGGGCTGGGGTTCCCCATTTAAGGCTCTTAGGCTTGCCCCTGCCAGGGAAACCTTTGTCATCTGGTGAAGAGGAGCGCAATAATGTCCTAAAACAAATGAAAGTACGAACTACACTGAAGGGTGATAAGAGCTGGATCATCAAGCATGAAGACTCAGAGGACCATACTATGTAAGTCCAAGAGGCAAGGCCAGAAAGGAAGGCAGCAAGCAACATTGGGGATGGGGGCATGGGACCCAACCCTAGCTGGGGATACTGAGGACATTCCACCATTTAGAGCTAGGTCAGGCTGTGTGTCCATTGGCCAGCCAGGTGAGGGTAAAACCTGAACACAGCCACAGATGGGACAGTCCTAGATACTAAGGCACGTGTTGTCACATACCTGTAAAGTGGGTCAGTAGAAGGTAAGATGCAGTGGTGGTGCATACAGGCCAACTTTGGGATGGAGCCACAGGGTAACAGGTAGCAAGAAGCATGGGAGCCACTATGTTCAGGCCCTGTCTTTCCACAGACAGCTTCCCTCTGGACAAAACCATACTACATCCTCATCAGTTGGAGAGGTCTCAAATACCAGGTAAGAGGCAGTACATAGCTGATTCTTAAATGGACTCCAGAGGCTTTTCTGGTGCAAGGAGGGGTGAGTATCACGTAGTAAACACATAGGGAGCCTGAACTGAGTCATTTGGAATGCATGGAAAAGACAGGCTCTTTGGCTTTCCCTTTTAGTGTTCCTGCAACTTGGCCATCTCCAAGAAGCTGTTCCCTGATTAAAAAAAATAGGGTCTGTAGGAATAAATGCTAGGGTTCTGTGGTACCCTTAGACCTAACCCCACTGTTCCAGCCCAGAGCACTCATATTGCTGAATAGGACTGTCTGCTGAGTCCTTGTCCTCTTGCCAACTCCTTGGAGGGGCCCTCATTGCCTTCCCTGAGCCTAAGATTACCCTCTCTCTCACTACTTCTAGCATGCTCTCCCTAGTGCCCCCCAAGTCTTCTGAACCTCATCTGTTGTTGACAAATGGAAAGCCCCAGTACCTAGAAACTAATGTTTTCCAGCCAGTGACCAAGCCTGAGGAGTACCTTCTGGTGTCATACTTCTATCACCACTTGGGATGTGAGTGCCCTAAGGGCTAGAGGAGGAAACATTCTAGAGGAGTGGTAAGGGAAGGCCATAGGGCTTTACCTTCTATTCACTTCAGCCTCAGATTGAGGTCAGCCTGGGCTCTGACCAAGGGTCTTTCAGTCTGCTCCAGGAGAGAACAGGAAGAGCTCTCTTTCAAGTGCCCCGGTGCCTGGAAGAGCAGAAACTTCTGGAACTTTGCAGTAAATGTTAAACCATAGAGCAAGCCTGCCTGGTACCCTGTTGTAAGTCAGGGCTATGCTAGACATGGCTGTGGAGGAGTCAGCCATGGCAATATTCCTGGGAGAGACTGAAGGAGAGATAGGTGGAGCAGAGTGGGTACCTGGCCACTATATTGGGACAAACTTGGCCACTATACTGGGACATCCATCAGCTGTAGTTGGGAACAGGAAGGAATAAAGTGGCCTGAGCTCTGTAGTGAGGCCATTGTTCCCTTTATTTCTCCTTTTCTCTTGGCAGGTCTCCAAATACAAAGGCTCCCGCTGGTTACATCATCCGGTAAGTGACCTCAAGACTCTACCTGCGTTCTCATACCATTAGGGCCACACCTAGACTTCTCAATACCTTCTGGTATCTCTTATAGGGGAGTGTTCACCAGAACAATAGACAGCTCTTCTCACTACCAACAGCACCTGTCTAAGACCAACGGAGCGCCAAGAAGGTACATCCTTGGTGTGCTGGCCAGATGGTCAATAGGAAGGTGGGAGAGCCTTGTCCAGAGCCAAGTCCAAGAGAGGGCTAGCAAAGAAGTAAGGGACTGTCCTGCCTGGCTCTGGCCACTGGTCATGGGCAGTGGCTGAAAAGGGAGCTCTGGACAGAGATGTAGATTGTGCCTGTACTTCCTAGTGCCCACATATCTTTATTTTACTTACTCCTTGTCCCCTTGGCCTCATGACTGGCACTGTGCACTTACTGAGGGTATTGAAGCCATGTGCTTAGTTCACCTTCCTGGAATGCCAAGGTGGCATGTTACATAAACACCTTGGTATCAGTCACAACTGAGGCTCCATTTGGGAAGATACAAATGAGAGCCTGGTGGGCTGTTTCCTTGTTACTTAGCTGGGTCTGCCATGCTCAAAATGTCTGGCAGGGCTGACAACAAGGAAGAAAGTCTCCTAGTGGCTCATGCCCTGTCTCTACTGGGCTGTGTGGGTAAACTTAGAGACAAGAGGGGACCTATGGTTGGGCAGATGGAAATATCTTGCTCTTTTAGTGCTTCTGAACTGCTGGGAACAGCTAATTCTGGTCATCCTCATCAGTCCTCTGGTTATAAGATGACTACAGAAGATTATAAAAAGCTGTGAGTATACAGTGATCCCAGACACTGGACCTACTGAGGGCAGGTGGACACTTACCTCTGAGCTAGTCACTTACCTGAGGAAAGCTAGTCCTAGGTCTAGAGAATGGACAATGAGCCATGGCCATGGGGACTGCTGCTCACTGTCTGTGTTTCCTAGATGTACCCCTGTACCCCTTCAGGTCTCAGGTTCTCAGACTGGGCTGGGTTCAGATGAGCTGTCCTTTGGGGCATGATGTTTCTTATGTTGTCACTGTCCCCATAGACTATTGGTGTGGACATTTTGTGTCTAAAGCTGAGCTTCCCTTGAGGTTCCTTCCAAGGGGCCCTGGCCAGGGAGGGGAACTGTGGACAAATGTCTGGATTGTGCCAGCACTTCCCAGGACTCCACATCTTTACACAGCTTACCCTTGCCCCATCATTCTGTTTCATGGAACAGCTGGCATATATTTCTAGGGAAGTAGTAAGAGTGTTGGCTGTTGATGGACAGAACAGGAGAAAAGAGTGCTGGCTTTTAAGGAGGAATAAGTGGGAGCTAAGGCTCAAGGTTGCAACACCAATGTATGTTAGTGGCATTGGCAGTCAAGAAGCCAAGAGGAATAGCCTGTAACAGGGAACAGGAAGGACAGGGAGGAAGAAGAGCCACACCTGCTCCTCTCCCCCACAGGGCACTGTACAATATCATGCGCAGCTCCACATCCATATTCAGGGTAAAGTGGCCTGGGAAAGGTCATCTGCACCCTGCTGTGTCTGAGTGTGTTGTGTTTGCAATGTTCTTTGGGTGCAGGAATGGTCTCCAGAGTTTCAAATGCCCTGTGCTTACAAAGAAGGAGCCCAACTAAAGGCCAGTATCTGCCAACCCATATGTGGTTTAGGAAGCATAGTGACAATCCCTTGCTGAAGGCCCCAGAAGGCCAGCAGTTCTGTGCAAAAAGACCACAGTTGCATGAGGCATGAAATCTGGATAGTGCAGAGCAGGGGAATGAATAAGAAGCTCTGGAGGCGCCTCACATTGAATGCTTAGGTGTGTTCACTTGGGCAAACCACCAGAGCAATGGTCAGGCTCAGTCAGTCATGGAATATATCAGCACCTACTTGCCTGGTTGTGAGTGTCAATGAACCAATGTGAGAATGTCAGTATTCAGGGCAGGGCTGGGCACATGCTACATGCTCCCTAAGTGAGGGTCCTTCCTCAGTGTCCATGGGTCCTCCGAATAGTTCTTAGAGCAGTGCTACCTTGGCTTACCCTCCTCAAATCCCTGGGGATATTCCTGAGTCAGACAGTGAATATCCAAGGCTAGACTGACAGTGGCTAGTTTGACACATCAGATGCCCCCACCTTGTACTACCCCAGGTCACAAGCTGCAAGTGGTGTTCTGAGGAAGACAGGCCCACAGGAGCACTCTTATGTCCTCTCAGCAGTTAAGAAGAACACTAGGTGAGTTGTCCAGGAATGAGGCCCAGTGGGCTTGAGCCTGCCTTGGCCACTACTGACTCCATGATCTGTGGTCTTCTCTTCTGCTTGGGGCTTCAGCTTTTCTTTGACTGGTGAAAGAATAAGGGTATTTGATCTTGACCTTCTCGGGGGTCTCAGATTCACTTCTTAGAATAAAAGCAGGAGGTACTGGGAATAGGAGAGGCTCTAAGATGGCACCTGCGCTTGAGCTTTTTCCAATATGTCTCCATTCTGCTTCATTTCTAGTAGTCCTACTCAAGATGTGCAGGCCCCATTTATTGCAAAGAGGTAAGTATCACCAAGGGAAACTTCATGAGCCAGATGTTATCCAGGCAGCAAGCCTCCTGTCAGTAGGGGTATAGGGAAAAGGAAGGTTGCTCTCACTGAGCAAAGAGAGTTGTCCTCCTCAATCATAGCAAGAGTTCTCTTGCTCTTGTCCTGCTATGTGCTCTCCTGTCACCTCCACAGGGACTGAGGAGGAGGAGGTGCCCTTCATCTCAGATGAACAGAAATGGCGGTAACGGTTTCTCTTATGAGCGTACCCATGAGTAGGACAGGGGCTAGAGTCTTCACAGACAGCTGAAAAGAATTATACCAGCCAGAGTACAAAATGCATTGCATATAAGCCTTGAGAACACCCCATAGTGTGCAGGTACACTTGTCATTCCAGAAGTTTATGATATGAACTACCTCTCAGTGCTGGGCCAGCTCAGGAGAAACTTCTAAGAACCTTGTAGGGGTAGAATCTAGGAAACACAGGTCTATAGAAAAGGCTTATGTGTAGATTCAAAATGTCCCAAGGAACTTGAATAACCAGAACCAGAACCACCAAGAGAAACTCAATGGGAGCTGACTGTGATGATACTGATTGGTTCTATAGGGCAAACAGGATGAAAAGGGGAATGATCCATATGTCAGGAGACTAGTTGAGTGAGGTAACTATTATTATTTGACATAGGTCAATTTCTATAGTAGGAAAATGTTGGATAGAGGATGGAGAAGAAACTTGTATGAAGCTGAATCTTAGGGACTGAGACTTTAGTTGAGTGGATATCAAAGGCCTTCCAGAGCAGATGCAGAGATCTATAGCCAAGCACCAGGCCAAGCTCCAGGCCAAGCTCCAGGGAGTCCAGTGGAAGAGACAGAAGATGGATTCTATGAGCAAGGGGCATCAAGATCATGATGGGGAAATGTAGAGAGACAACCAAACCAAACTAGTGAGAACTCATGAAATTTAGACCAACACCTATGGAGCCTCCATGGCACTGAACTAGGCCCTCTGCATAAGTGGACAGTTGTGTAGCTTGATCTGCTTACAGGGGCCCCTGTCAGTGGGGTCAGGATCTATCCCTGGTGCATGAGCTGGCTTTTTGGAGCCCATTCCCTATGGTGGGACACCTTGCACAGCCTTGATGCAGGGGGAGGGGCTTGAACCTGCCTCTGCTGAATGGACCAGGTTCTGCTGACTCCCCATGGGAGGCCTTACCTTGTTAGAGGAGGAAATGGGGGGTGAGAAGAGAGGGTGATCTGTGGTTGGTATGTAAACTGAATAAAAAATTTCTTAATAAAGAAAAAAAGGCCTTCCAGATAAGGTGGCATACATAATAAGCTGTAGGTAGAAAGTCAACGAGGAACCAGCATTCCAAGTGTTCCAGGCCAAGAACTAGCCAGTGCAAAGGCCCAGAGTGGAAATATGGTGCTATTGTTAAATGACAGTAGCTGACTAGAATACATTGAGCACTGAGGGGTGAGGGAGTGGCAGCACAGAGTAACAGAGAATAGTGTGTGCTTATTAGCTGTTACTAATGGAGCAAGGTACCACCAGCAGAATAGCTTAAAACACCAGAAATGGAGGTCAGGAATCTGAAATTGAGATGTTGGCAGGATTGGGACTAATTGTATTTGCCTCACCAGGCCACTATCTTCATTCACATTGACTTTGTGTCTGTGTCCAGATTTCCTTAGTCTCAGAAGGACATTGCCATTGGATTCAGGGCCTACCCTAATTTAGCGGAACCTCATCTTATCCTGCTTACATCTCCTAAGAACCTATTTCCAAATGAAGTTCCATGGCTTCCCTGGGAATATTCAATGGCAATGTCCTTCTACTCATCCTAAGCTGGAGTGGCCAAGGCTTCAGTCACCCACCTCATCTGGACGCTGGTGAAAACACATCCTTCAAAGGCCAGGAAGCACCAAGGTAGCTGAGAAGACCACAGGTGCTACTTTTCTTGCCCACAGGGTTGATGTGGTTGATGAAGATGTGCCTCCTCAGAAAAAACAGGAGCCACCTGCTCTGGCAAGACCTGTTTCTGGCTTAAGCAGGTAATAGTCACTCCCCTTAGGCTGTGAGAGACTGGCCACTGTAGCAGTGGCGTCCCATTGTTAAGCTTGCTCCTGGTACTTCTCTAACCTGGCCAAGTTTACCCTACCTAGAAGACAGACCTCTTGTCTCCAGCACTTCTCATACCTGCCTTCTTTGCCAGTGTGGATGGAGGCAAAACCCAAGTGTCTCAAGCAATTCAAATTGAGTGCATGCCAAGTGTACCCAGCCCCTCTGGAAGTCAGGAACCCAGGTGGGTATCATGAAACAGCTCTGGACTATGAGATGGTAACATGGTTTCCCACTGGCCTGGCTGTCTGGGTTTGGCAACCAAGGAAGGTCTTGCAGTGAGGTGACAGTGCAGGGCCATCTAAGTTCTGCCCATCTCACTCCAGGTGGGAATATGCTTTGCCCTGATTTCCAAACCCTGAGCATCCCAGCAGCTACAGGCACTCTCCTCTTCTTTGCAGATGACAAGCCCTCAATGCTTCCTTGTACTTTGCATTGAATGCTGCTGAGTCTGGCAGAGGGTACAGCTTTCCTGTTGCTTTTTCTTTCAACCTGGATTGAGTCTTGGTTAAGGTCATAGTCTTCTAAGGGCTGTGTCTCCATGGCACCCTGGAAAAACTCCTGAAGCCAGAAAGGAAAGGGGGTCTATTCTTATAAGTCAGTTCTATTTAGGGTAGAGACTAAGGGACAGAGTTAAGGAACCAGATTTAGCCTTCCATGGCCTGTGATCTAGGTTGGGGACTGCCTACCTCCCTGCTTTCAGGCTGCTGCCTCCAATGCCCTGGTGGCCTTTCTAATATGTCAGCCTGACCATGTGAAAACTTCACCTCTACTTTAAGCCCATCTCACAGACACATCTGCTCAAATGCCCATCTAGAAGCCCCTTTATTTTCTGAGAGTGGCCTAGAGTCAGCTCTGAGTAGGAGACTGGCAATACCCTTTCACAGGCCTATGGATCAGTGGCTTGAGCTTAGCTATAGTACCAAGAAGTCTCAAAAACAAAGAGCAGATGAAGGCAAGGAGGGGGAGGAAGATGGGTGTGAGTATCATACTTCAGGGAAGCACCAGATGGAGAGTGCTCTTGGATGCTGACACAGAGGGAAAGAGGAAGCTGCTCTCCCAGAAATTCTCCAGTCTCTCCTTTGGCCCACAGCTTGAAAACTGAGGAGATTGTCCGTTTGCAGATCACGATCCCCAGAGCAGGACTCCACCTGGTGGCCTCAGATCTGGAAGCCCTGAGGTATTGGGATCCCATTGCTGTCCTGCCTCCCTTTGCACCTTTGTCAAGATGAGCAGAGAGGCAGGAAGCTAGCTCTACCACTATGGGGATGACTGGTTGGTAGGAGGTGTGGCCAGCCTGGGTTCTCCATCACTGTCTCAATATTTTATTCAATAATAATTATGTAATGAGTATTTGGTTCTTATGAGGCCAAAGACCTGGCCCTGGGACCCAGTGATGACTGGAAATCCCTGGGCCAGAACTACTGACTCTGACAAAGGAGACAGATGCTAATACGGACAAGATCAACCTGCATTGCTGACCATAGCATATACCCCATTGTCCTCAGAAAGTGTCAGGACTGGCCAACAGAGCTGAGTGGGGGTACTGGGTCTGTGTAGCCCTTTATTAAAATTAAATTATTATTTAATTGTCTTGTTTATAGGAGAAGGCATTAGGGTGGGGTTCTTGGGTCCATGGCTCATAATGCCCAGTGCCGTGCTTGGGATGAAGATAGATGAAGGGGCCACATCCATCAGGGAGCAAAAAGGTCCAAGTTCCTTTCCTGGGAGAAGCACTAGGGTAAACAGCCAGGAGACAGGCCAGCAGGATCAAAGACTAGAGAGCACACCACTTGGGCCTCCTGAGCATCAAGTGGCTCATCTGGAAAATGGGCATGGATAACAATATTACCCAGAGCTCCATCATCAATCATCTAACTTCTGCCACCTTTCTTACTGTCCACTCCCCATCCTGTCTTCCACATATCTGCCTGGGGACATTTGGAGGTCATTAGATGAAGAGTGACAGTTGATGGCATGAAAGGAATATGAGTAGCCTAGTAAGTAGTAGAGTATGTGGACAGGGAAGAACACTGGAGCATGAATGTTTAAAGGACAGATAAGGTGGAAAAGATAAAAGGAGACCAGAAATATGTGGTCAGGGGGACTCACAGGGTTGAGGGAAAAGAGGTGATAAGTCTGAGGGGAAGACCCATTGGTGACCCAGAGTAATGCTGAGACTGACTCCTGGCCTTGATAACATGGCTCCCTGATGATCTCAGGGTTGAAAGAGGAGTTAGGATTAGAACTCTGAAGACAGCTGCCTGGGCTCCAACTCTTCTTGTTACTTGTGGAACTTGGAGCACACCACTCAGGCCTTTTGAGCATCAGGTGGCTCATCTGGAAAATGGGCATGGATAACAATATTACCCATACCTTGAAGCTAATGTGGAGAATTAATGTGTGAAAAGTTAGAAGAATAGAGTCTGGCTGCTAGTCAACAACTAATAATGTGACTAATAATGAGGATTTATTGGTTGGCCAGCCCATCATTAGCAAATTTTCAGCTCCTAAGAGACAGCTGGCATTTAAGGATGAGGTAACCACCAGAGTGTGAGTGGTTGAGGAGTAGTTAAGTCATTTCTTTCCTCTGCAGGTCTTCCCACAAAAACAATGAAGTATCATGCTCTGAAGAATTCAAAAGAGATTCAGCTTGTGAGGATAAATTTAAGAATTGCAACACAGATTCTGAAAGGTAACTCACTGCAGGGAGTAGACTTTCCCCAGAATACAAAGCCCATGTGCACTCAACCAAAGGGCTTCCATGCGCCTGAGTCCAAAGTCAGTAGCTGAAATACAGACCAGCACTATACTATTGCTGCATATCTGTAAAGGGAGAAGTAGCGGGAAAGAGGGGGTGGGCCTATAGAGAGCAAAACTGTAATGTTTCCCCAGATATCAAATTGCAGGGGAGGACCAAGTCCAGACCAGGCTATCTCTCTCACAGCCCTTTGTTCCCCCCACCCATCTTCTCATTTGGGATCCCTGGGAATGAGGGAAGGGGGCCTTAGATGAATGGGGAAGTGTTTTTTGTTTTTATTTTTTGTTTGTTTGTTTTGTCTGCCCTCTCTGGCTTAGTAGCAGCCCCAAATTCCTTGTCTCTTGCTCTGTTGAGTATTGGCCACCCATGTGGCTACCTCCCACTGAGTTTCCAGCTTATTTTGTTTCCTTCATGTTCCCAACCCACTAAATTTGAATGAAACAGAAATACTTGCTGAGAGAGTCCACTTAGGCTTGGATTCGCTCTGATCAGAGCAATTTAGGGAGGCAACCAAAGACTTCTGCTCCCAAGTCATGAGACATACTCTCAAGACATCTAAATTACACAAGGTTGCAGCCTGATCAAAGTCAAAAAATGCTTCTCTTCCAATATCAAATCAGCTGCACAGTTGAATGATGGCAATGAGCAACTAGGAGCCACAGAATCCCCACCACAAGGTTTGGCTGGAGCAGGCATTGGCACAGAGAAAAAAGGGTGAGATGCTAGTGGGAGACAGTTCTCTCAGATCCCTGGTGAGAGGCCAGGTTCAAGCAGCCAAACTCCTTCCTTCCTGCACTAATTTTCTAGATTTGTAGGGTGTTAGTGTAAGAAGATGGGACTTCTCTCTACTGCGCCCCCCCCAACACACACACACACACACACACACACACACACACACACCCTTTGCTCTTGGATTTTCTACTTCTTGTTGGATTTGCTTCCATTCCAGTCTAGCCACCCCCACACCTCTATCATTGACTCTCAAATTCCTGCAGAGCAAATACAAGCCCCTAACTCACAGCTAAAGTCCATTCAAGCAAGGACTGGCCTTGGATAGAATGAATGTGTGAGGAAAATGGAAGAAACAAACTAATGAATGACCTGATAATGGAAGAATCAGCACCTCCTTACTTCATGACTGAGCTCTGAAGACAAATTCAGGGGCCCTTGTCTCTTATTTCTCCCTTTCCAGAAGAGGAAGAAGCCCCTAAATCTCTAAATCAAATGTTTTTGAGAGTCAGTGAAAGAAGTAGATCAGCGAAACAGCTAGGAGATAAGCATGCCCTGGCTGAGTCATGAGCCACTCTTATCAGGTGATTTGAGGAGTAACATGGTTCTACCTATTCCCATGTGGTTCCAAACTAAATCAGAGTCATCCCTGGAGACAAAGGCTAGTTATGCAGATGTTGGCACAAATATTAGTACAGTTTCAAACTGTGATAGCAACCTTATGATTGGTCTGTCAAGAGCTGAAACTGCTGGAGGGTCGGCCCAACCCCATGACCTCCTGAAGTCTACCCAGAAGGATCCTGAGAGGATGCTCTTGTGGCTGCTTTCCCAACTGGTTCTCTCAGTAGGTTTATTTTCTCACTAACTTACCTAGTTGCAATAGGTACCTGGAACTAGATACAGTAGGCCACACCTCTGAAATCTCTGTTTCTGAGCAGGTCTAGGAAAGGCCTTTGAGCCAGGGACTCAGTTCTTTTTGCCACTAATATATCATTTTGCTGTCTGTACAGGCATCAGAACAATTTTCCCAAAATAAACTAGAATACATTTATCCCCTCTTTCAACTTCGCAGTGGCTCCCAACTTCCTTGAAATTAAGTCCAAACCCCTTTCCATAGCTTACATAGTTCTGCATGGTAGTGGGGACTCCATATCCATCCTTTACTTTCTCCCGTACCACAGTGGTGCAGACTGGTTCAGTGTGCTGTTGGCTACTATAGAAAATATCTGATCCAGTATGATTGGGTCTGACTCTGGGTGGCTTCCTCTTTGACTGTTCATTGGAGTCATCCTTCCTGTTTATACACCCTCATAAAACAAATCCATTTCCTTAGAGTGAAACTAAACCTCAAAGCCATTTGCAAAATAGTATGAAGAATTTTCTAGATTTGTAGGTTGTTAGTGCAGTCTATCATAGTTGTCTTACTTATAATAGTTTGACTTTGTGTGTATATGTGTGTGTACAAGTGTATGTGTGTCCATGTGTATGCTCGTGTGTGCATGTGTGTGCAGGCCAGAGATCAACTTCTGGTGTTGTTCCGTAGACACCATACACCTTGTTTTTTGAGACAGTCTCATACCAGGACCTGAGACTTACCAATTAGCAAACCCCAGGGGTCTGACTGTTTCTACCTCCACTGTGCTGGGATCACAAATGCACACCACCACATCTGGCTTTTTGTTTTGTATATGAGTCCTGGGGTTTAATGCCAGGTTCTTGGGCTTGTAAGACAAGTTCTTCATCATCATTTAAGCCATCCCTCCCACCCAATTGTTTTTTGTTTGCTTCTTTGTTTTGTTTTGTTTTGTTTTTGTTTTCTTTCCTTTCTTTCTTTTTTTTTTCTGGAGCTGAGGATCAAACCCAGGACCTTGTGCTTGCTAGGCAAGCACTCTACCACTGACCTAAATCCTCAACCCGCTTCTTTGTTTTTAAGAAAATGGTGCTTTTAAGAAAATGGTTTATAATCCTTTCAAAGGGTAGGTTGCCTCTCCTGGAAAGCACTACCCTCCTTTTCCTTGTATGAGATTGCTCAATAGTTGAATTTAGTTCTAGGCCTAGAAGTAAACATAAAGGACTCTAAGACAGTATGTTATCCATATGGAAGACAGGGGCTTGTGTAAGTGATGGGTGCCCTGTGGGCATCAGTTTGCCAGGAAAGAGGATGGGGCCCAACTGGGAAGCCTAGGTAAGAGAGTTCTATACCAGTATCAGCTGGGCACATACAGATGAATTGTGAAGGAGCTATGCTTTTATCAATGACCATTGGGCTTAGCAGGAGTGGAGAACATGTTAGCAGATGCTAGGGCCCAAGTGTTATTTGAAGTATGAATTGAGACTACTTATGGGACAGGCAAGATTATCATTCCTAATTTACTAACTGATAAAACTGATGGCCAAACAGGTCAGGCAGTGTGCCCAGGAGCTCAGAGACATCAAAACTGTGATTTGAATCCACACTGCCCCCAGATATCAGGCTGTTTGGGGATGAAAGTGAGTCTTACTCCCCCAAGCATCTATGTGAGCAGCTCTTCATTGCCCATAATCTGCTAGGGCTAGAGGCCACTCACTCAGAAGAGGGAAAGACATGCAGAAACAGACTTATGACAAGGTTTGGTTTCCTTCCACAGGCTGGGATCAGCTGCTAGCTTCACCCCTTTTCTAGATGCTCAGGATGTGCAAGGTGCCAGCTCTCACTTCTGCAAGCCTGTACCAGTAAAGGTACAGCCAGCACTTCAGTAACCTATCTTATTATCACACAGAGCCCTCCCAGCTCATTCTCAGTTCCAGTGGCTAAGGATCCCCTCATCTTTAGACCTTTACCCCATCAGATAATCATAGCTGGACCAAAAGCCTGCTGGGGCCTGACCTAGAACTGCATTCCCCACATTGGAAGCACTACAAGAGGGACATGTGATGAGTCTGTTGGCCCAGAAATTCCAGCATCAACCTACATGGACCCACTTTGGGTAGTGGTGGAAACATGGAAAAGTGTCATCAGGAGGCTGAGCAGCCAGTCTCAGTGAACCTCTCCTATATAGACTGTAGCCTGCCCCAACAAGTAGGATTTGGGGAGACAAACCTCAGGGGTGGACAGCCAGCACTAGAAGTCTGAGTCTTAGACAACACTTCTCTAGGAATGGCAGTGACTTTAGTGAACAAAAGACAGGACACTCTTTACTGGCAAACTCAGTCCTTCCCTTTCCTCTGAGAAGGCAACTGGCAAAGGGGAAGCCATGGAACCCAGTCCCTTCTGTTCTGGGCCTTAGTAAACCTTAGTGCTTCCTTTCCTCATGTCTGGCACCATGATAATTTCTTTCCTGGAAAGCAAGAAGAACAACAGTGCACCAGACCTGGAAAATAAAAAGGCAGACCTCAAGGGGTAAGGCATTAGCAGACAGTGCTAGAAATCCAGGCAGCTTAGGCATCTATCGGACTTTGACTAGGAAGATGAAGCCAGCTATACCTGTGAGCTAGCCTGAAATATATGGAGACACAGAAGGTCCAGCTGGAACTTTTCAGCCCCTGTCTGTGCCAGGAAGTTTTCCATTAAGTACAATTGCTTCCAGTGAAGAAGCATTCTCTAATCAAGAAAGGTCACTTTCCTTCAACCGCTGGGGTGGCACTTTACTTTTACACCAGTGTAGATGTATCCAACCTTCTTATTAAATAAGAAACACAGAACCCATGCAAAGAAGAAAGCCAAGAGATCAGAGCTAAGAGCTAAAAACCTTACCCTTCCTCTCGCAGTGGTCCTACCTCTCTGAACCAGAGCTACCCCTGTGTTAAAGTCTTTATATAGAGTTCCTGTCCTGCCTTCTCATTGGTTGTAAACCCAACCACATGACCGCCTCCTCACGGCCTGTCTGTATAGGCCTCCAGGTTTTCCATGATTGGTATTGAGATTAAAGGCCTGTGTCTCCAATGCTGGCTGTATCCTTGAACACACAGAGATCTACCTAGCTCTGCCTACCAAGTTCTGGGATTAAAGGCGTGCGCCACCACCGCCCAGCTTTCCTATGGCTTGCTAATAGCTCTGACCCCCGGGCAACTTTGCTAACATACAAATAACATTTTAGTACAAATAAAATATCACCATATTTCCCCTTTTCTATTTTAATAAAAAGAAAAAAGAAAAAAGGTTATGACTAACATAAGAAAAACTATATACAAAAGTACAATAACTATATACAATATATACAAGTAAT